AGTAATTGCTTGAGCTGGATGAACAAGACTTAACCCAAAGTCAATAAAATGAACAAGCACTTACCTTACAGCCAGTAACAACCCTTGTTTATCTCCTGGTCCAAGACTCTCTCCTAAAACAGGTGCCTAAATATCTTTCTGCACAGCAAGTATCTCAAAAATGAGGCCATGTTCCATGGGCAGGCTGAATATCTCCCACAGGGTGTAGGTGGGAAATCCACTTGGGTCCCAACTCCCTGCAGTCCATTCAAAAATTCCTATTGTATGGCTGGTGTTCAGAGTCCTTAGGGCAGAAGTCTAGGCCAGTTCAGGGGACATCTTCTGTACAGCGATGGAAAGGATTGGGTATGAAACATGGTCAGTGTAGACAAGATTTTGCCTTCTCCCAGATGTTGGGTCTGGAGTAGCTGTACCACTTGCTTTTTCCAAGAAAACCAAAGATATTAGTTGCCATCTGCCCTGGTCATGCTAGGACGGGGAGTCTAGGAGAGTGACTTAAAATCATATATGCCATTTCTACAGCAATATACAGTTATACAGAGAAAAAATTAGGGGTCAAATAGCATTGAAAAGATTTGGGAACAGGGATGTTGACTTGAAATGATTAAACAGTGTGTCCAAGAGGGTTCTTTTACTGTGGCTAGCCTGCCCTGCAGAGTCAAACATGCATATCTTACATGCTGGGAGGTTTAATGGGGATGGAGAAAAGAGATGGATGCAGGATTGATCTTCCATAATTATTATCTGAACCAGATTGTATTTGCTGATTCCACTTGGCATTAACAATCAAGTGTAAAACTGCTGTGAAGGAACTTGCAGCACTGGCGAGCAATGACAAATTAAAAGAATTACTTTTTTAGAAATTGAAAGATTAAACGAGGACACTCCTCTAATAACACTAAATTTTCTCAAGTAATACATCTTCTGGATGTCACTTGGATTCTTCCAGCAACACAAGAATAATCATTACCCTTTTATGCCCAAAGGCCCTGATTAAGTATGTTCTTAAATTAAGCACATGCTTGAATACCCTTCGTGGATGAGGATGTTTCTTGATTCAAGCCCAGCTACCATCTCTCATGTGGCACGCAGTTGTAATTTTGTGTTCTTTACACAAAATGAGTCATGTTGCACAGCTTTTCCATAGCCAGATACTGTCCTCTGTAAAACATTGCCTGCTCTTGTTCCTCCCTTTGCCAAAAGGCAGCGCAAACCGGGTGACGATGACAACAAGTCAAACAGCACACACAACGTCAGATGTGGAAACGGCAAGTTCTGGGCTGCAGCTTTGCCATGACACAGTCTTTCCTATTGCTTCTCCGAGGACACACAGCATTGCATGGGGCTCCAGAAACCTCAGATTTTTCTTCACTGCCATTTTTACACTGGAAATAAAGTGGGTTTGGCTTGGTTGAACTCACAGAGACACACAGACGCGCACTGCCACATAATCGCATTTGTACAGATATTTCTTCAAGGCATCAGCAGTTCGGCCAAGTGCCAATCACAGTGTTGCAGCACACAAATCCAGAGCAGCAGAATTAGCAAGGAACAAAGGCTTGGATAGGGCTCTCTGCATTGCCCTGAGGACTGCAGGACATTTGGCTGCCTTTGCCCTAGAAGCAACTCCACAAAAGGCTGCTGACCCTCTCGGATATGCCACCCCCAGTGCGACAACTGGGGCTGGGAGGGAGCCAAATGTGGCACAGTTGGCCAAAGAAACACCTGCTTGCCAAGTCAGTCTGGGCTATGGAGAAGCTGAGACCCTGACTTATCCTTGCTTCTTTTTCCCCTGATCCCCTCACTCCCCAGCAAGCCATGGACTGCAGAGCCAGACCAAGCAGCACTGACACACCACCAAGTCACCAAACCTCAGCACAAAGATTGGGTGATCTGCTAAAAAACAGGGGATTCCCCATTAAAAAATTCTTACAAATTCGCCCTGAAAGCAGAGGTTTGAAGTCAAGCTGTGATTTCTAAAAACTCATGCCCATTGAAAATGGGTAATAACAATATGTAGCTCTTGAAAATACAATTGCAAGACAAGGTCAATTAGAAATGGGTCCGACACATGCAATCCAGGCTGGTTTCTGACACAGTCATTTTTAAAGTTCAGGTCATCTGGAGGTGAGGCTTGTTTTTGACAGGCTCTTTTGAGGCTAGTTCAAGTCATCTTCTATATGTGTAGGCTCTGCTGTGAGCACTGGGTTGAGCAAGGTGACCTCCAGAAGAGCCATCCAGCCCACAGTATTTCTGGTGCATGCTCCATGGGCCCTTTTAGCACTACTAGGTATAAGACCCAGGTATGAAGCACTTCATTTCAGCTGGATGGAGTGACAGATGTGGAAAGAAGTAGAACAGCAGTTGTTTTATGTCAGGACACTCCACTTTTAGATGCTGCATGTTTAACAATGCGCCTTCAACGTTCCCTCCATCACATATGACCACAAGGTAAATCCGTGCATACGGAACAAATCAGGTCCTCTTTCAGGCTGGCAAGAAATTGTGTCTTGCAGCCTCCAAAATGCCTGTGCAACACCAGTTTAAATTCCAAAATCTCTGCTTTTGCTAAAGCTCCCTTAAATGTCCTGTGCTTGAAGCTCCTTATCTCCAGCTGTGGTTCCCTGAAGACAGATAGTGGCCCAGACATTTACAGAGGTCTGTTATATAAAACTTAACAACAGTTAAGCTGCCCATAATGATCTGACTGTTT